ACCTTCACAGCTGGACTCAGTTGCTGGCTCCTCTGCTGCTGGAGCAACTGAATTATTTAAAGGAATCTTGATTTCATTTTCTCTTTGCTGTTTTCATGCGTTGTGTTTATTGTCTATAGATATTTTTATAGTCTGAAGCAATTACAGCTGTCAGAAAAGAGACGAGCTGTGACAGGCTGATTTATATGTACATTGTATGTATGCAAGAGAGGGAGAGCCGGGGACGGGGAGATAGACCGGGAATTCTGCTGGCCTTTAGTATGCGGGAGACGGCGATATTGGATTTAAATTCCTTGGGATTTTCAAACAATGCTGCTGATCTCTTAACAGTGGGCCAAATTCAGCCCTCGCAAGGGCTGAAGCTGCTCAGCAGGTCACGTTCTGCCCCAACCTCGCACGCTTTCAGCGTAGGCAGGTGCTTTCTCTCGTGATTTAAGATGCTCCTGGCAATCTGGGCTGTGTTAAAAGGTTAACTGGCTGTGCTTATTGGAATCCCTTTGGTTTTGCTGACTCAGGAGATGATCTCTGTCCATCCAAAGGAGCAGCCTCGCGAAGAGAGCGAGCTCTTGCATGATGAGCATGGCAATGGCTTGTAGGTCCTGCACCCGAGGGTGTTCCCCAGCAGCGAATAGGTAGCACGGCGGGGTCCCCATCCTGCCAGGGGTGCTTGGATGCCGCAGCAATCAGCAAAAGCAGCACGTTTTTTTTTTTTTCTTCACTGACTTGTGCACCTCAGTGCAATGCCACAACCCTGTACAAGGAGTTTCACCCTACCGCTGCTGCTCTTGCTTTTTGCAGTTAGGCTTCAGAGACCCCTCCCGTGTAATTTGTGGGCCCGAAGGGGGTCTGCTAAAGGCAGGCGTTTACGCCTGACCGGCCAGGAGCAGAGTGAGCTGCGGAGATTAAACTCCTCCTGCCAAGAGCTGGCAAAAGCTGCCGTCTCCTCCGGGGAAAAGTAGGACTTGAGGCAGCACGTCACGCCAGCGCTAAATTCAAGGAGCAGAGCCTTCGGAAGAGGAAGGAGCAGAGTGACTTGCAAAGCAATCCCCTTCTCATATGACCTATCGGCACGCACAATAATAATAAAGCTTTATTTGATTGAGTGTTTCCTCTGCCCGGCACAGCTCATAATGTTTTAGAGATTAAATAGCACAGTTAGTGAATTAAGCAGTAGTTTACAGGGGATTCGGAGACTCCGGGGATTAGTAACGGGCTATGGATCCTTTCACATCTAGGTCACCAGTCTGAATCCCGCTCAGGTTGGCAGCGATTTCAGAGAAAAAAAAATTGGTGCCGTGTAATAGCTGCAGAGCATGTGGTGGGGAACGGAGGGAGGGAGGACTTTTGGATAAGGTCCCGTGTCACGGAGAAGTCATTGGGGACAGCGGGTGGAGGAGGCCTGGTTTCCCCTAACGCTGGGCTGCCGCAGCTCTGGGGGGGGTCTTCCAGGGGCACAGCGCCCCAAAAGCCGTGGCTCGGCTGCTCGCTCTGCATTTGCTCAGTGGCTCCAGGACTTCATGCTCCGAGGATGGCTCCCCGGCACCTTTTACCAGCATAAAACTGTGCCTGGAAATATTAATGTGTTTAGCCGCTAGCGGAGGGAAGGAGGAATTACTAGGCATAAGCAAATGCGATATTTGTTAAATTATGAGCTGATAAAAAGTACGTGGGGACCGTGCTCGCGGCTGGGGAGGAATTTGCCACTTAAGCTCATGCTGCGTGTCTGTGAGGTGCAGAGGACCAGGAGAGCATGCTCCTGCCTCTCCTTGTCACCACCTGCCTGACTTTGAGGGGGGGTATTGTCCCGTGCCTCAGTTTCCCCTCCTGCATAGTGGCTTTGCCGCTTGGGGAGGGGATAGTGCAGAGGTAGAGGAGGGCAAAATGTTATAGGTGGTCCGGTGCTGGCTGCTGGGCGCAGGTAAGCGCGCTGGGGAAGAGAGGGGAAGGGGGGGGGTCCTGACATGCCGTCCCTGGAGGAGCGTGGAGCGGCGGGGGGTGAAGGCTGGGGGGGCAGTGGGGGCCGGCGCCTCG